TCATCAGGGTTATTCTCTCTATGCAAATAGGAAGATGCATTTTAATTCTATGACTTAATTTTTTGGGGGAAAAATCCTCCTACTCTGGAATCTGTGCTGGTTAAAATACTAGCACATTGCATAACTTGCTATTATGATTTACTGCTTTGTAATTTCTTGCTACAAATTACAACTAAACTTATGTGCCTACTTTAGATGAACTATTTCTCATTCTAGAGGCTTGAAGGGTTACCCTACAATGGAAAACTGAGCACATCACTTAAAATGACATCTAGAACAAAACAGTTTTCCTGAAGGACAAAAATACAGCTGCATGTGAATCTCCATTAGCATATGGAGCTGTAGTCATTATTGGGAAAAAACCAAAACAAAACAGAGATGGAGGAAATAACAGTTGACAAAGCTAGACTTGTGGTAATGTGAGTGAGGTATGCTAGAGGGAGAGGTACTGTAAAACTTGCACTGACTTTTTAAAGCACAATGATATTGGTGGAAACACTCCAACTTATCCTATGGCTTCAGGTATTTGATGCTAGTTAGATGACTGCTAGTAACCAAAAGAATCTGATTAATTTGTCTTATCTTGTACTGAATTGTCTTCCCATGCTGGACATGATCAAAATGAGAACACAGAAAATTAAAATAAACACGATTTTTTTTATCTTACAGTATTTTCTTGAATGAGACCTAAAAACTCTAGGTGTATGATTTCTCAGTGTGGCAAATACAATATTCTTGCTTACGTGTTCCTTAAATAAGGACTAAAACCTAAATCTGTTGGTGACAAATCTGACTTTTGGCTCTGCAGAGCTTGGTCAGGTTGATGAATAATTATGTTCACAGAGTAAGCTTCATGCCTTTCGTAAACAAAACTGCAGTCTACCTTTGCCTCATTAGTCCCACTGGATGAAGCACTGGGTTGGGTTTTTTTTTTTACAGTTTACGTGCTGCAGCTAACTTCTAGAAAAGCATCACGTTAAAGCAGGACGTAATAATTTCAGATTTTCTAATTGTTCAGATTAATGAATTTTGTTATGTCTCAATCCACGGCAGTACGTTGTCAGATGAAAACGAGCTTTTAAGACTGAACATTCAAAGACAAATCTCTCTCCCTGCTTCCCTCCCCCTTCTTTTTTGCAGTACTATTTTGGAAATCACAATCTACCGAGAGACAAGTTCCTGAAGGAGCAGATCAAACTAGATGATGGCTGGGTGCCTTTAGAAGTAATGATCAAATTCAACAGGTAAAACAAAGTACAGCTAATCTGGATGGAAGGGTAACTTTCAGCTCCTTATCTCCAGTTGGGGCCAAATGTCCCTGGTCTGCATGTACAACTCCTATTGCTGTTTTAACATTTGGCTTCAGCTTTGCCTGTGTATTTGTAATAACCTGTATTTGCTTACTCAATAGGTTAAGTCGCCTTTCAAAAGATTTTAGTGTTATTGTAGAAGCACTAAGAAAATCCAAGACTGGTTTAATGGAAATAAATGAAGACAAAACTAAAATCAGAAGATCTCCAAACAAACCCCTTCCTGAATTAAATGACCAGTATAAGGCTGCAATTAAAAACAGATCTGTATATGTTGTAAGTAAGCTTCTTCCTTTGCTCTGTGCCGTTCTGCATGACTTTGACTGAAAACCATCTAAGTAAAACTTGAATTAACTCATACTAGATAGGTTATTATTTCTGACTGTCTTGTTTGTTGCACATAATTAAAGCTTGTTGCTGTCTTGCAGAAAGGCTTTCCACTAGATGCAACTCTTGATGATATCAAAGAATGGCTTGAGGATAAAGGTCCAGTTGAAAACATTCAAATGAGGAGAACGTTGCAGAGAACGTTTAAGGTAGCTCTTGCGATGAACAGTTAGATCTGTGGCAGGGATCTCTCCTGGACACCATTCTGTTCAATTACTCTAACACCGAATGTCTCCTATCATTTAACAGGGCTCAATATTTGCAGTTTTTGATAGTGTTGAATCTGCTAAGAAGTTCACAGAGATCCCAAACCAAAAGTACAAAGACACAGAGCTGATAGTGCTTTTCAAGTAAGTCCACGTAACTGATGTATGAACTAATGATGGTCAAGGGTGGATTTAGACAAGAACCTAGCTTGACCTGAGAAGTGTAAGTTTCTGCACTGTTGTGCAGGTACTGACAGCTGTACCTTTTGGAGATTAGCATCTTAACTCTGAAAGATAATCTCCACTGTTTCTTGACTACTGCTGTCTTATAAAGTAATTATAATGGAATACTTTTAAGTGGTATTAACTTAGCTTATATTCTATTGAAGGGAGGAGTATTGTACAAAGAAGAATGAAGAAAGGAGACAAAACAAAGTAGAAGCTAAAGCAAGGGCTAAACAGTAAGTCATTATCAATTGAAGTGCCTGGTTTTGCTCACCTGACCACACTTGAACCAACTCTTAACTAATTTAACTTTCCTACAGGGAAAAAGAAGAAAAACAGAAACAAGCAGCAGATGCTGAAATGGTATGGGTTTCTTAAATCTCTATACTGAAAACTATGCAATGCTTGCTTTTGTATGGATTTTCCATCCACACATAACAAACATGCTCCTGCAGCTACATTTTGTAAAGCTAACGTGGGATATTTAGAGTTTGAAATTCTATAATATAGAGCACTTTTCTAGAAAGTCACTTCAGCTTTTCCAGCTAACGTACAGTAAGACTTTGTTTTGTCATGGCATTTAATCTTACTTTCAAGAGACAATTTTGTTTCAAGGATTATATCCTGAATTTAAATTATTAGGCAAGTTTACCTGTTTAGAAGTGATCCTAAGTGCACTGTTGAGATGATCATTATTCTGTGGTATTTAAAGGATCCAGTAAGGATTTAATCAGTATTATATAGATTTTCAACCTGAGGCGTCAGCCTTCAGAAAACTGTTTTGTAGAATATGAAGAGTGTAACCACCTCATGGGAAGGGAGTCATAAGTTCCACATAAATGTATCGTAGCAAGCAAGAAAAAAAAAAAGGGGGGGGGATACACCATGCAAGCCTTGGACATCAGCATAAATAAGCTATGTAGCAAGAATGCTTGGGTTACTGATGGTGCTAAGGGGGGGGTGGGGGGTGACTTCAATTGCTTATTTATCACTACCATGTTTTAATAGTTTTAGGATTGAGGGGGGAAAAATGAATATTCAAGCTTGACTCTTCAACAAAAATGTGGGGGTTTTTTATTTCATTTAGAAGTCTCTGGAAGAAAAGACAGGATGTCTTTTGAAGTTTTCTGGTGATCTAGATGATCAAACATGCAGAGAAGATCTCCACGATGTATTTTCTGATCATGGAGAAATCAAATGGATACACTTTGTCAGAGGTGCGAAGGAGGTCAGTAGAATCTTAGACAAGGAGTTAAGATCTCTGTATTAAAGTTTGCAACTGAATGATTAAATGCTTGTTCTTTTATGTAATCGAATAAGAAATTACTTATTTGACTTGTGGAATTGCAGAATATTTAGAGAATTGAATTATTCCTGCAAAAGAACGGATAAAGGTTCCAGCCTTCTCAGCTGATAAGGTCAAAACTGGGACTGAGAATGTTAGGACAGTCCGAGGGTTTTGCTTCAGTCCAGACATATTTTACGTTATGCAAGAGCAATACACTTGCTGAGGTACCTAACGGGATATGTTGTTCACTATTCTAGCTGAATGTTTTTAAGATTGAAATGCAAATGCCACTCTTCTTTTTAAGGGAATTATCCTATTTAAGGATGTTGCAAAAGAAGCTCTGGAAAAAGCCAAAGAAGCACATAACGGAAACTTACAGCTTCGGAACAAGGATGTTACGTGGGAAGTGCTAGAAGGAGATGCAGAGAAAGAAGCTCTGAAAAAAATACTGGAAGATCAGCAAGAATTGCTGAAACAGAAAACAAAAGGTCCTCCTTTTATTTGTTTAAGCATTTGTAATGTCCTAGAAGTGGCATTGTGTGAAAGTAACTGTAAATAGTGAATACATACTAAGCACTAACTGTAAAGCATTCTTTTGAGCTTGCCAGTTAAAAGACAAATGATAGAAAGTTCCTGACATCTTTTATCCCTACAGGACGCAAAATTAAAGGAAAAGGAAGAGGGGGAAAGACACCTCAAGGTGCACACAAAGGAAAAGTACAGTTTCAGGGCAAGAAAATAAAGTTTGATAATGAAGAAGAAGGTGGTGAAGATGATACTAAAACAGGTATGTAATTCCATGCACTGGATGCAGCTTCTTCAGTATATTGAGCTACTTTCTGGAGAAGTACTCATGTTTCTTGTGTTTCAGATTTGGTGTCAGATTTCTGTCCTCTTGTCAGTATCAGTAAAGTAACTTTAAGGGTCCTGTGCTTGACTGCTTCCAGAACTGTCCAAAAAGCGTATTAAAACTAGATAGCTGAGGCTGTACTGCAGGGCTGTACAAAGCATACTGCATTGAAAGATGGTGGTTGTCAGCAATGTTACACAACTGTACAGACCCAGTCTCGAGTGCTGGGTTTTTTTTTTTTTCCCCTTGAGGATATGAGAGGACTAATAGTTCTGCATATTGGTATTTAGCCTGGAGAACATGAAGAGCTACGCTTCTGTTCATTAGATATGGCACCTGCTTAAACAAAACCCAGTGAAACCTACTCCTGTTAGATTGTATTCCTTCATCTTCTTACCTGCCCTCCTGCTGTGAAGTTGCATAGGGAAGCAGCTCTTCAAAGCTGGTATTGAATAGCTAAAAGCTTTAAGTCACATTAATGAGTAAGCCCTCTAGCACAGCAGTAGCTGTGGATAAACTAGGGCATATCCTTGAACTCTTATGGTGGGAAGGGTTTGTTGTTTTCAGAAGATTTCAGGTAATACTGAAATGCTTTCCTTTTTACCATAAATGACTACATATTCATCTTGCAGAACCAGCAAGTCCCAAGAAGAGACCACTAGAGGAAACGGAAAAAGAAGAACCTGCACCAAAACAACTGAAAACAGAAAATGGAGGTGGAGATCAGTAATAACTAAAATAAAAAAAAAATCCATTGTTTTTATTATTCCATTTTCAATAGGTTTTAAAGACACGTGTCAGTTCAGGAGTTTCTTGGCAGAAAATCTAATGAAATCCACTTCAATGTCAACCTACAATGAGAGGAAAGCTTCATTTTTTTTGGGTTACAGTGCTTTTTTTTGTTTAAAAAGCATGCTTACTCTTAACATACCACCCTGGAAAACTTTTATATAGTTTTGTTTATACTGTCAGATCCTCTTGACTTCTCTGGCACTTCATTCAAATGTAAAAGGTTCTGGACTTTGTAATCTTGCGGTTATGTTAAATAGCAGCTGCCAATAAATTCAGAACTTAAAACTGCTTACTACTCAAGCCTGGATGTTAATGTAGTATAAAGCTGTGACTGTGAAGTAGCAAAGCTGAAGGACAGACTTCCATCATTTAAGTTCAAGGCACCAAGAGAACAGGTACAGCTGAATAAAACTTCTAGTCTTTGCTACTCAACAGACCTAACAATCTTCAAATCTTGCTCAGTCTACTCCAGGATTCTCTCTACTTCCCCTATGGCAATAGGATACATGTCTTCGAGGCCAGCATTCAGCACCCAGAACTTGCCTGTGGGCTTAAGCTTCCATGCTCTAGCATCCTGACTAGATCTCCTACTGTGGGATGAAGTACACTGCTTTCTCCTGCCCCCTCTAAGATGGTTCTATGAGGAATTTCATTGGCTGTAGCTATTTGCAGTATAGAGCACAGAACACTGAAATAATGCTAGGGCTGTAAAATCCTAGTTACTGTGGCCTTCATTGCTTAATTCAGTCTAAGATCCAGTTGCAGACAGGATCAAGCAACTATTAAAAGTTGAGTCAAGGAGGCTACCCTTAGCTCTTTTTCATCAAATCACAGTGCTTAATCTTTGTGTGTAGCCTTGACTTGCATTACAATGATTCTTTTCCCTGTTCAACTACAAAATATAGTCACAGCAATGGAACTTGATGCCTTTGTAGTGATTTTTCTCAAGTGCTGTGAGCATTCCTCATCCAGTACATATGGTCCTGAAACTTAAATTTTCTTAAGTAGAATTTATTTACCTGCCTAGCACAAGACAGAGCACTTTCTCAGTTATGTTAGGTTTTATACTTACTGATTTCTTCTTGTGGAACTTGTATGATGCTGGTAGGTCATATCTAAGTTCTGTGAAGAGTACAAAGAATACTTGTTACACTAGAATGATTATTAGTCAATTGACTTACACCCTACATCCATGTTCTTCTGTTGCCCTGCCCCCTGACTAGATAACTCTTTTGACCTCTGGACAAGATTATGACTGAACATTTAAGTGGACCACATCAGATAGTAAGTGGATGGCTGAAATGCAGTTGTGTTTCAAGCACTGGTGCAACTTCCATGTCTCGGATCGTATGACTGTATAAAGCATTCAACTGGTGATATTTAAGAATTAGGAAGATACTTGAACAACTGTCAGAAAAATGTTTAGGTGACTAAGGACAGGATACTTCTTTTGTGTGACAACTGACCTGCACTTTGCTTTTGTTATTCAGCAATAATCTCCTTGTGAAGCAGGAAGGTAGGTAATTTAGCCTCCGCTTGAAGGCAAAATCTAGTCCAGGAAGAAATCCAATTCCACTTCTGCACAGAATATGTATTCCTTGGAGCTTTAAGTGCCTGCTTGTATTCTAAGACAGATAGCAAGGCATATATATTAAAAAAAAAAAGGTGGGGGGGGGGCGCTTGAAAAAAGACCTGTGTCATTTTCAATGTTAAATCACACTTAAATTTACCTCAGACTCTTTTGACTGGCTAGTAGTGTTATAGATTATTAGCCCCCAACAAATTTTTTTTATTTTTTCTTTAACAAATTAATCTTACCTGCTATGACTTCCATCTTCACTTCCCATTCATCTGCTTTCTTTTGAATGTGCTACAATATTAAATAAAGTAAATTAAAAGCTCGTTTCTACGCTGTCTTATAAGCATCTATACCCCTGTATTATTTAAGAAGTCTCCTGTGCTTTTATTTTTCAACCCAAAACATTAGATCACATACTTATCTTGATGTATGTGAGATCACTGTTATTTGACATGATTAGTATTTACCCAAAACAAGTTTCATACCCCATAAAGGTGTGAACAAATCTGTGAAACAATACATCATCATTAAATGCCAGCTATTTCATTGCCTGGTTAATGCTCGCCCTACTATAATGAAGGACTTACTTGCCGTGTTGAAGTTTTGTGAAGGGAATAGACAGCTGTTTTTGCCATTTGTAAAGCAGTTTTCAGAAAAATCATATCCATTCCTAAAAGAATGATGACATTATTAGAATTGTTAAATGCAAGCTTAAACTAGAGGATTTAAAAATCTGCCTCATGCTTCAATTTTTCTGGAGTAATAGCTATTTGACAAACAGCACTGAATACATTAAGGTACAGAAAGTATTTCTAAAACTTGCCCAACTGCTTTTAGCAAAAGAGAAAAATGATAGGGATATGAAATAGTATTGTTTATTTCAAACCCAGTCATTGTTAGTTACAATGATGAAGTTGTTAATCTGTACTTAGGAAACTGATTCCAGATAAACAAAACTCTAGGTAATTACAATACGTAATTGTAATAAAGAAGGGAGATGTTTCATTCAAAGTGTTTCTCTTGCTATTTCATTCCCAGCAATTTCTGACTTTCAGAATTACCAACCTTTATTATGCTTGGTACCAAATGGTGGGTTCATAATAACTGTGTCAAAAGTCTCTGACATGCTGTCAGATAAAGAACAGACATCACACTGAACCATGTTGATGTTCATGAGCTCAAAGTCTTCAATATTGCTATTAAATATTTCCAGTGCATCTGCATCTATGTCAAACCCCACACACAATCTATTAAAAAAAAAAAGTACCACATATTAGTCTCCTGCAAACTAAAATGGTGTTTAAATTCTACAGTAATGTTTTGAAAGGGATCTGTGAACACAAAACACTTGTTTTATTTAGGAAATGTAGCAAGCATACACTATAAATTCAGTGCTGATAAAAATGCGAGTAGCTCCTGTTGCCCTTTCTCAAAGATCTTTTTAAAGTTTGTGAAGGAAGTTTCACGTGTTCATTTAGTGCTTCAGGAGAAAGCAAACATTATGAATTCCAAATTCATGGCAACTGTCCATCTCTTCCACTATCTGAATGGTTACTGACTGTCTAAATGGATTAAATAGCCTCACTATGCACTAGATTAGATACCTAAAATTAGTTTAGTTTAGCATTGCTATGTTCTAATCTTATTTTCTACTCTTATTTTCTATTCTTCTATGCCAGAAAAAAAACCACAACCAGAAATTAGTATTACATACTTACCCTGCTCCTAACATTGCGCTTCCAATGCTGAGCATGCCACAACCACATCCTAAATCTGCAACTGTTTTGTTTTCAATATCATCAAAAGTATTGTGAATTGTATAAAGCATACATGCTGGGGGGGAAAAAAACACAGGTCAAAAATATCAAATATGCATCTGATTAATCAAGAAAAGCTACTTCTGCCTTCAGAAAATTCTGAACTAAAGGCTTCTTGTCATGCAAAATTAAGCTGATGTTCTCACTGCCTGTAATTCTCTTTTTCATTTATATGTGAAAACAAGTCAAAAACATTTTGACAAGTCATAGAACTCTAGATCTTTGGTGGGGAGATTACACATAGAGCTGTATTGTTTGTGGAAAAAGTATGCCTCTAAATTTGTCTGGGGAAAACACAAGAACATAAAATATTGGAAAAAATCAAAATTAAGGTATGGATGAGTGTCTGTACCTACACTTTTAATGTTTTTTGTGTGTCATGAAATAAGCCATTTCAGCTTTCTCATTTACAGATTAAGGTGTTTCTATCACATTATCTTTTAAATCAATTTACTTGATTCTTGGATTGTACATTAATATATTTCTAAGGAAAATAAGCTAACATCATTAAAAAATAATTAATTACGTTCCTGCTGGATACAATTTCTCAACTATTTTTAATGTAAAGGCTTCAAAGGAGATAATGCAGTAGAAACACTTTAAAGTGCTGACGAAGAACTGTTAAAAGAGACAACAGTGCTGTAGGTAAGCTCTACCTGCGATATGAGGTCTTGTTGGATACTGTTCGAGGAGCAGTTTTGGACTTTCAAAAGTATCGACTTGTTGAAGACAGCTTTCCAGTTCTTTAAGCTTTAATTTCTTCATGTTTATATTTTAACTAAGGAAAACAATGTGTAATCAGTTACAATAATATAAATAAACTACGTAGTATCTTAAACTATACTTAAAACCCCACTGTACTCCTCGGCATCTCCCAGGTCTTTTCACGCAGCTGCTCCCGGGTGCCGCTGACAGCGCGCCGATGGCGGGGAGGGGCGCG